CGCCCGCCCACCACGGAGAGGACACCGGCCCCCCCCCTGGGCCCGCCGTGCCCCTTCGAGAGGGTGGCCTGGACCCCGAGACCCCCTCAGGGCCCCCCACAGGATTGCTTCGCCTGCATCGCCAAGCCCCCGGCTCTCCGGCAAGCTTCGCCTGTCCTGTCTCCTTCTTCCGCCGTTTATCTCATGGAGAGCAAGAGCTGCAAAGGGGACAGCCTGCGGCCAGCGGTCCCATGCAAGCACTCGATGGAGAAGAAGACGATGACCAACCCCACCACCGTCATTGAAATCTACCCTGACACCACCGAGGTGAACGACTACTATCTCTGGTCCATCTTCAACTTCGTATACCTCAACTTCTGCTGCCTCGGCTTCATTGCCTTGGCTTATTCATTGAAAGTGAGTACTGAGGCGCCGGGATGGCTGGTGGGGGGAGCGTTTGGGGGTCATGCCTAATGTAAATCACATCTTTGCCACCCAAGTGAGAGGTTCCACTCACGGGGGATGGGGAGAGCCGAGGTGTGTTTTGGAGCCGGGGATGTTGCTTCAGGTGGAGAAGAGGCACTTGACTTGCTCCGGTGCCCTCAGAGGCTCCTCTGTACCGTGGCAGCAGGGTGGCAGGCAGGCAATGCAGGGCTGGCTCGGCTCGTGCTGCACCGGCAGGCACCCTGGCACTCGGTCCCTTCTTTGGGATCCTATCGGTTAGTGATCTTGTCAGGGTAGGATCCGGCAGCATTGGATGGTTGGGCAGAAGCAGTAAGAAGCAGGCGGCCAGCATCAGCTGGCGCCTGGCAAGTTGCGGGCAGGGAGAGGCTGCCAAGGTGCAGGGCAATTCTGCCTGCTTCCCTCTTGCCCTCTCCCTAATTAAAACACCGGAGCTGGTGGTCAGCTCCACACCCCCCACCCTGAGCATCCCAAGGCAAGCCCTGGAGCCCTGCCAGCATCACGGGAACAGCCCTGGCTAGCTGCGGAGGGGGAAGAGAGTGCAGGGGGCCTTTGCACAGTGTCGGAGCTGGGGCGAAATGTTGATGGAGTGGGTGATGGTGTGGAGCACAGCTGGCAAAGGGGACGGGACCGAGTTACTCCCCGTAGCTGCAGGGGAGAGCAGCCTGGCAGGGATGGTGCCTGGCAAACAGGCAGCCCCTCAGCGGCTGCCGGGAGAGAGGGGCCCGGGCTGCCCTCCCTTTCCCCTGCCTGCCAGCCTCAAAACTAACTGAATGGATGTGCAGAGAGCCCGGGGGGTGGCTGGGTGGTCCCACAGAGGAGCTAGCTGATTTGTTTTGGCAGGCAGCCTTTAGAGGAAGGCCAGGATGCAGACAGGTTTCGTCACAGAAACAGATCAATTAACCCCATCCAGCTCCCATGAGCTGGGCGGCGAGTGCCCAGCAATGCAAGGAGGCTGCTCCCAAGCCCGTCAGGGTCTCTGGCAGAAAGACTCAGGGTCAAGACTGTGGATCCGTGCCCTGCGCTCACCCAGCACTGGCACCGTGGTGCCTGCCTCAGTTTCCCCTTCCCCAAGATGGGAAATGAGCACCCATCCGCCACCCATGCAGCTTCACTGCTGCCTGGGTGAGGCATTTAGTAGCTGAAATCATGCTGGAGCTGAGCATGACCGCAAGCAGGACTGACCCAAGGGCAAATCCAGGCGTCGGCAGCCTAACGCGAGCTGGGGGCGGGGGGCTGTCCCTTAACAGCTCCACTCATTTAGCCAGTGAGGGAAGAAACTGGCTTCCTCTTTTTTTTGTGTGTCTTTGCTCATCTGGATTTGCCTTTAATGATCAGTGTCTTTCCCATGCAAAAGGCACACTCACAGCAGGCTAAGAAAGGGTTTCCCATCACAGGGACATGGCAGTGGCTACAGCAGGTATTGGGGTAGGTGCGGTCCCTCGGCTGCAGCCAGCAGTGGGAGTAGGACAGCCTGGGGACCGGGCTGACCCATCCCAGGGGACAGGACAGAGTAGGGCCTGCCACCTACAAAGTTTTTAAAGGCTGGACCCTTTGCTATGCTTGACACGAGGTGGAAGGAAGGGGAAAGCCCAGAAGTAACCTGAGACCAGAGCCTTGTGGCGGGGCAGAGGCATGGGCTCAGCATCCAGCTGCAAAGGTCTAGAGGACATAAACTCTGGTGTGAAAAAAAGAAGCAGCAGCAAGGGAAGGCAAATGGGCAAATACGCTCCAAATCAGGGAAAGGAAAATAGAAGATGGCTGTCAAAACCCAGCCTTGGTTTTTGGACTGTGGAGGCGGTAGCTGATCAGATGTAATGTTGGTACCTGAACAGATGCAGAACTGAGCAGGTAGAAATAACTCTGGTCTTGGACCTCCCCGGTAGCTGTTACTCTGTGGCAGGGGGAAAAGAGGAACAAATGATGCCTCAGAGGCACAGAACAGAGCTAGCAAGTGGCCGAAGGGATGGCGAGTGCTGTTGGGATAGGTGGTGGGAGGCAAGGAGGGTGCTGGTACAGCAGCAGCAGGTCTGTCCTGGGGAAGGCCACTGGGATGTTAAGAAAGACTAAATCCTTCCTCAGCCACAGCTGCTGCAGAGACCCTCACAACATCCCAGCGAGGCTGGATGTTAGGGTCGTTTCTCCAGAAGCCCGTTGTTTTCATCCCTTTTATAGGCAATAAGGTTTTTCACAGAAGTTCAGAGAAAGCAGAAGCAAGGAATGCCCCGGGGACAGACGTCCCTTTAAACAGACTTCTCTTGTTCCTCTGCAATTAAATGTAAGGACACTTTAGCAGCAGATCACTTACGTCCCAGCCTTTCTAGGATGTCTGTGCTCTGCAGAGATGGAGTAAGGTGCTGCAGGAGGGAGAGGACGGGAGCGGCACCTTCACCTCCCTGAGCCCATTCTGGGACCTCGGACAGCAGAGCCCTCGGTCAGTGGAGCACAGGTTTCCTGGCTGAAGGGCCACCAGGGCCCTGATGGCATTAAACAGTTGCCAGGCTATGGTTTTTCCATTTCTTTTAAACAACTGAAACATCTAGCAACCTCAGGAATCATCATTTTCATTATCAGAAATAGCATTTTCAATACCCTGCCATAAACATCGTCTGCTTTTGCCAGATTCATGCCGTTAATAAAGCAGTAGCTCCTTTGCGCCCAAGCCCATAAGAAGCGTCATTATGGACCTTAGCACATGCTAGTATTTCCCCCAGTTTCAGCAGCACAATGCCCACACTGGAAGCCAGATGTATGCTTTGGTACACTTGAAGATCACTGTAAAACTGTCGTCTTCCCCATGACCACTTTTATTGTTCTCAGCCGCCGCTGGGAAACAGTACCTCCATGGCTGCCTGGCCTTTCGCACGCGAGCTGCAGCCTTCTATATTTCTTTCTGCAGGGAAATACTATTTCACGGTGACCACCCTTTACCAAAAAATGCCAAAACCCACCCCAGCACCAAAGAATTTATGCTCTTACTCAAAGAAGCACATGAAGTCAGGTGAGGGCAAAGACTACGACATCCAAGCCAAGTACTCTGTGTGACAGACACCCCAGCCAAGTGCTCTGAATAACAGCGTGATGGCACACCTCGTCTTTATTTACACCCATAGCGGGCCAGATCCTCAGCAGATACAGCTTGCTGGGCTGCAACCGAGTTGCACCGACTCACGTATCCCTCCAGGGGTTATTTCTAGCATCTCAGGCTTCTCAAGGTCAGCCTCCCAGAGTGCAAGCAAGGCGCTCGCATGTAAGCGCGCGTTGGTGCTGGGGAAGAAGAGATAAACAGCAGGAACAGGGAAGTTAGAAACCCTAAAGTAACCTTAACCCCAGCCCAGCCCAGATGCAAGGATCACTCTGACAGCAACGCTTTGGATTCAGCTGGTTTTCATCAGGAGCAAATGCCATGGCACAATATTTGGCAGCTCCCTCCCCTTATCTTTCCCAGCTCCAAGAGGTAATTAATGATGCATCAGCACCTGGTGGCAGGAGATCTCGCTTCAGTCCTTAGGAAGTCCATCTCTGGAGACCACCAGGGTGAGCCAAGACCTTCTCAGTACCGGCTACGCCATGAGGTGGTAGATCAGAGGAGCTGGGATCTGAGACAAGCCGTGGTACGGATGCCATGTTGTGGTTGTCTAGAGTTGAAGATGGCAGGAAGCCCTGCTGCCTTTTTAAGCCCCACCAGCAGCTGACGGGGCTGCTTGCAGAGTTTTCCTGCTCCTCAAGGCCACCAAAATTTGCAGTGTGATAGCACCCCAGGAGAGCTGAGCCTGCTCTCTGCCCAGCCCTTAGCACGCAGCTCCGGGCACGGCTGTTTGCCTTCCCCTCTCACTGTGTGTTGACCTTCCCCGTTTGGAGTGGAAGCAGACCAGCACAAATCCATAGCTATTTATTAACCCCAAGAAGCAGAGAGGCTGCAGCACCTGGCCTCTCAGGCAGACTCTCAGCCCGCTTTTTGGGAGGAGCAATGGTTTTTGGAGGTGGGTGAAACACCCCCGTGACACCCGTGCCAGTGTGGTGGAGGTACGTGGGCCGGAGAACTCTTGACCAATTCGCAGAGCAAATAAATCCAGTGATCCCCTCCAGAGCTCCTTATGTGTAGGGACGCAGAGCTCTGCACAGAAATGGGTTTACAGACAACCAGCTGTGGGCTGCATGCACGCTAAAAGCCGGGCTGCCTTAAATACAGCCTCATTAGGCTCGTTATCACCAAACCATTCATCTCCGCCTGCAAACTGAGGCAGCACTTTGTACACACACAGCAAGTTCCCTGCTCCCAAAAAAAATGAGAGGGGCCGAGCCCCAGAGGAGAGAGAGGGGAGGTGGCTGCTGGGGAAGGGAGTGGGAAGGAGCAGGACGGTAGGAGTCAAGGGGAGCATTTGAAGAAGAAGCTGAAGGCAAAGCCCCAAGGGGAGGAAGGGCAGGAGATGGTGGTCAGAGGGAGGAGAGAAAGATCTCACAGGCACCAGCACCCTGGAGGTGTTGGAGGACAAGGTGAGGTGGAGATGGTGGAGGGCAAGGTGAGCTGGACATTGTGACCTTGGGGACCTGTTCCCTTATGCCTCACCTCCTTGGCTCGGAAGGAAGCAACTTCCAGGGCTCCCAGAAGCTTGTGCACCAGCTGCCAGCACATTATGATGATGGTGGGCACAGGAGCATGAAAATAGGAAAAGCTGAGGCTGGGCTATGAGAAAGACACTGGCATCTCCTTAAGGACAGAGCAGGGAAGGAGCCAAAATGCATATCTGCTCTCCAGGAGAGCTCCTCTTCCAGAGCCCAGCTCAGATGCCACAGCAGGACATTGAAGGGAGATGTCTGTGAGCGTCTGGGGGTGCAAGGCCAGGCAGGAGGAGGTGAGGCCGCCCTGGAGAGATGCAGGAGGCCTGGGGCTGCAAGTGGTTTGGAAGGAGAAATGCCTTTTCATTGCATTTGTGTGCCACAGCAGCCCTGGCACTTGTCTGGTGCTTAGAGGTTCTGCTGCAATACAGGTGATAACAGACGCCAAGGGATGATTTGCATGAGGGTGACCACTGAAACCATAGGGTGTATGGGGAAATAATAAGAGAGGGGAGGAAGGGGATGAAGGATGCGGGTGACAACAGCCAGAGCAGCCAGAGGATAGCTCAGGAACGAAAAGGGCAGGGAAAGGGCAGGGGGCTGGTGGAGACAGGGAACGTGGGCAGAACTCTGTGTGCCTCAGGTGGGCAGGAGCAGGGGGTGGGACCCGCTGGAGGGTCAGGGAGAGGAGGCAGCTGGGTGCCGTTTGGCAGGAGTCGAAGGCAGCTGTCTGTATATCATTGTTTGGGCCCAAACAGCAGGAAAGAGAAGAGATGGGAAGGACAAAAAGCGGAACTGGGAGGAAATGGTGGTGCTGAGGAGAGAGCAGCCCTGGGCGCCCCTCGCTAGAGATGCTGAGGAGCAGCAGGACCGCAGCAGGACCACAGCCGGACCACAGCCATGGGAAAGTCAAGGGCAGGCGCTGCCAAAGCGAGCCGTGGGAAAGAGCTAAAGAAAAGTCACGAGTTCGAGCTAGAGTCAGGTGGGAACGGCTGCTGGGAGCACTGGGAGAGGGCTGGGCATGGAAATTAGGGCAGCAGGGCACCCCGGCGAAAGGAGGAGCAGGAAGTGAGGAGTGGGGGGGAAGCTCCTGGGGCCAAGAGTCCCCAGAAAGGCAAAGCAAGAGGCTCAGTGGCAGGAGGGTTGCAGATCTCGGTGTGCTGGCCACGCTGGTCTGCTGGGGAAACCTCTGGCAAACACCGGCTTGCCAGCGGCAGAGAGCAACCTCTCCCAGCCACGGCTGGGTTACAGCAGAGGAAGGGGCAAAAGGCTCGTGCTCTGCGCAGGGTTTGCCTCCAGCAGCCCTGCAGCTGGGAAGAGGAAATCACGTGAGAGCTTCAAAGAGCCTGCCAGAAGCAGCGGGGTGGGATTTCTGGCCCAAATCCAGTGCCCCTGGGGCTCTGGCTTCAGGGACCTCCGCACTTCTCACCAGTGGGTGAGGAGGAGCTGGCTGCCCAGTGCTGCTGTGCCTGGGGGGGGTTGGGTTGATGCTAAACCCACCAAATAATTTCAAAGGTGAGCCATCCCAGACAGGCAGCTGACACAAAAAGGAATGTGGGCTCCCAGGCTGCCGGCTTGCTGCCTTCCCAGAGCCAAGCATGCCAGAGCCACACGTGGTTTGTGGCTCTCCCCTCTCCCGGCTCCCCGAAGGGTGCCCTGAAGGCGCCGAGTGCTCAGCGGCGGGGGGATGGGGTAGATGGCCCCGGGTTCAGCTGCAGGCTCCTGGGAGGAGGGTGCAATAGAAGCCGAGGCACCTCAGGATTTAATCCAAAGAGGAAAACAGAGCTCTCATTCTTGCCTATGTGCCTGCCAGCACCGGTTCCCGCGGGCCTCATGCCAGCAGCAGCCTCCCTCCCCAGGGTCCAGGATTAATGAAGAGAAGGGGGTGCTTGTGCAGAGATGTCCTCACTGGTGTGATGGAGGAGGGGACACTGCTTGAGGGTCTGAGATGTGGGTTTGGAGGCCCCGTGAACCAGCATGGCTCGGTGGGAACGAGGGCTTCAGCAACCCTTCCGCATATTCAGCAAGTCACAGAAGGCTTTCAGGACAGCCCTGTGGGTAAGCACTGCAGGAGGGAGAGAGAAAAAGTCACCAAGACGTGGTCTGCATCCATCGCAGAGTCTTTTTGGAAAGCTCCTGGTCGATAAAAGCCTTTTAATATTTCTAGGTAGGGCTCTGGGGCTGGTTTTCGCAGCCTGCCACCGACATCTAGTGTTCAGCTGGCAGCACCCTGCTGGTGCTCACGCTGCCAGCAGCAAAGGCAGGCTGGAAGGACATGCGGCCCCACGGCCTGCAGCCCTCCGGCCGCAAAGTGGGCAGCGAAACAGGCGCTGCCGTGCTGTGCTGGCCCCTGGACACTGCACTCAGGCACGGGAAAGAGAAGATGGGTAAAGCCTCCTGGTCCTTTTGTCCCACGTCCTTGTGGCTCCAGCAGTTTGGGGATGGGGACACATCCCTGCTAGGAAAGGATTTCTTCCCAGAAAGGGTTGTCAGGCTCTGGAATGGGCTGCCCAGGGAGGTGGTCGAGTCCTCATCCCTGGAGGTATTTAAAAGATGGGTAGATGAGGTGCTTAGGGACATGGTTTAGCGGTGGGATGGCAGGGTTAGGTTAATGGTTGGACTTGATGATCTTAAAGGTATTTTCCAACCAAAGCGATTCTATGATGGAGTCTGACCGCTCATCTGCTGGGCTGAAACAGCAGAGCTGCTGCTGGTGGGCAGTGCCATCCCTGCCAGGCTGTGCCCTCCCTGCCTGGCAATGCCATCCCTGCCTGCCAGTGGCATTGCTGCCTTGCAGTGCCATCTGCTGCCTGCCGGTGCCATCGCTGCCTGGCAGCCTGGAGGAGGTGGAGGCAAGCCAGTGCCATGGACATGCACAAACCTTATCCACTGCAGAGCTGTCCTAAGCCCTGGAAAGTCCCAGCCCACAGGATAATGAAGAGAGCAGGCCGCGCTGTCAGGATTGAAAACTGCCAGTGGCAGAGATGCTACACGAGCCGCATAAGACCTGCAAAAGGAACTCATTAAACCAGGGCTGCTTAATATGCTGGAGGCTCGTGCGCAGCCCTGGAGCTGCAGTAGGATGCCATGCCAGGTTTCGCCCGCTCAGCCCCTCAGCACAGACGGAGGCACGAGGATGCACGCCGAAACCGCAGCCAGCCTTCTCAGTTGCAGACCGGGCGAGCCGAAGGCCAGCGCTATGGGGACAGGGGGCTGCAGCACAGTGAGAAGGGTGCTTTAGTGCCCATATGGATGGGGTGCATGATGGCAACTCAGTTCCCCTGTGCAACCTCAGGCTCCAAATGGCACTGCCCCCCTCCAGGGGCCACAGGGACCTGGTCTGCCTGGCTGGTATCAGCAACAGGTCACTCTTCTAGGTCTTCTCTTCTCCCAGGGGTTTCCAGCCTGCAGGCATTACAGTGCTTGGCTTCACAAGCTCAACCCGTAGCAGAGCTGGGGTGCAAACCTCGCCTCAGGATGTTTTATGGCACCCCAAGCTTTCAAATGCAAAGAGGCACAGCCCAGCCCTCCTCCACTGCACAGGTATCCTACAGTGTGGGTATTGCTTGAAACAGGTTATGTCTTTTTATACATGTCCCAATTTATTTTTTTATTTTTTTTGGTCTCAGGTCCGGGATAAGAAACTCCTCAATGACTTAAATGGAGCAGTCGAAGATGCCAAGACAGCCCGGCTTTTTAACATCACCAGCTCAGCCCTTGCCACCTTCTGCATCATCCTTATCTTCATCTTCCTGCGATACCCCCTCACTGACTACTAGAGTGAGGCCAACAGCAGCAGCCGCCGCCAAAATGCCTCTATGCCAGAAGTGTCTGCAGTTGTTTCTTGTAGCAAGGACGCAAAAAAAAAACCACACCACCAAACCCACTCCACCTTGATTGCAAAAAAAAGCAAAAGCAAATTAAATACATAAATAATAATTGAGTTGTTCAGCCCAGCTGAGCATACCCTTCCTGCCCCCAAACAGTTTGTGAACTGCTGTAGGAAAGGGTCTCACACTTACACATGTACAGGGAGAAAAATAGACCAAGAAATATTTATTTTACGGCCAACAAGCCATGTGACAAGAGCATGCAAAGCCGAGAGCGACGCTCACCTGGTGGCAGAAAGCTGAGCTCTGGGGAGCAGCGGGGTCCTGCCGAGCGGGAGGTAGGTGCAGTGATGGATGGTGACTGCAGCAGGGCTGGCTCACAACATATCAGACGTGTTCAGACTGCCCCACCACCCCCCAACGTAGGGGGGTTTCTTTTCCTTTTCTTCTCTTGAGTTTCATCCGCTGGTTCAAACAACTCCCAACCCCTGGAGAGCTGAGGGCATTAGGAAGTTCGTGCTAGGGAGCCCCAAAGCCTCCGGAGAAACCCCAAAGCATTAAAGGGCAGGGTTCTCCTCGGGATTTCCCGGCAATGCTGAGAAGGAAGGCACCTTCTGGAGAACTCGCCTAAGCCCCCTAAACCGAGTGTTACTGTATTTCTGTAAATGGTCAATAAAGATACCTCTGATATCTGATGCTGCTGGGTTAATTCCTTCTTTAGAAGGGCCAGGCTCCTGGGCCCTACAGGCTGGCAAGAGAAAATGCTAATGTCAACAGCGGCTGCTTGGGAGAGATTTAAAGCAGGAGTGAGGGATGCTGCTGCAGGTCGGGGCCGCACGCAGCCATAAAAGAGGGCGCAGATCCAGATTTAAGAGCAGAGACCTCAACGACTCCCGTGATAGCTGATCAATCGAAAGCAAGCAAATGCAGCCGAGCGGGCAGGTCCTCCCTCCCCTGCTAGGACCAACATTGAAGATTGAAAAAAATCGCCGCAGTCTGAACCTGCTGCTACCGCAGCACTTCCCGGGGTTGTTACCAAGAGCCAGATTTTGGAGACGCCGTGCATTTGCTGCTGAACGAGGCAGGAGCTCAGAGCCCTTCCCAATAGCTGCTGGTGGCTGCCTGCGGTGCTGCAAATCAACATGCCCTGACTTGAAAACACCACAAATGAATGGCAATATCAGGACTAAACACAGCTTTTCAGCCCCTCTGACCCTTCTTCCCATCTCATACGCTGCAGCTGCCTCATCTTTTTCCAGCTGTAAGATGACCTCGGGCCAAGGGAGGCCGGTCGCTGCAGACCAGCCATGGGGACGGGAGGAGGCAACAGTGTCCATCTTTGTGCCCACCACGAAAGTGAAGGTGCAGCAAGAGATGGGGAGCGCAGACAGGCTGTTGTGGGGCGCTTCATCCTCTGCTGAGTGCGTGGTTAAATCAACATGTTGTCTGGGCGGTGCTCAGTGAGGGCTGTGCCATAGTGAGCCTGGGGACAGACCATGAGGGTGCCTCCCTGAAAGCATCGTGAGATGTCACCTCCTTCCTGCCCAGGTCTCCACACTTTAACCCCGGCCTGGGCTTCATTTATGGGGGAAGCTATGGGCAGAGGGACCTGCAGTCCTACCTGCTCCCCACTCGCTGGAGGGCATTTCCACACCAGACCAGATCAGGGGTCTGTTTTGCACTGAAGTTTCTGCCAGCAGTGCAGTACATGGTGCCCTGGGAAGTACCTCGACCATGAACTGCTCTATGATCACTCATCCAGAGGTCAAGACTCTTCCCAACCTCTCTTGGCTACTTCTTGCTCCTTTCCCTGAAGCAAGATCTGAGGGGTCATAGCCACCGTCATTTCCATCCTAACATATCTAGGGGCAGTACCCAGCCCTTGTCCCTGGCAGAGGAAGGAGGTGGCCTGTCACAATGCCAACGCCTCCAAAGAGGGTGCAGCCAAAATGACTCGCGTTGCAGCCACCCTGAGCTGAGACCTGATAATTGGAGCAAATTAAAGCCCGCTGGGATGGTGCTAGTTTAGGCAAGACTTGGACTAGTCACCCCGAAATCCTCCGAGGGTTAGGAGGAGCGCAGAGGTGAGGTTGCATCACCTTCTCCCTCCCTCTGTACCTGCACCAAGCTCACAATGGCCATTCCCAAGGTCTTGGTTCCTTCACCATCTGTGTGCCCACCATATACCTCTCAGGATTTGCAGCCCAAACACAAGCCCGGCAGGATGGGCTCCGGGGATAACTCATGCAGGGTGACCCTGCTTGCAGTGCCAGGGGATCAGAGCCGCAAGTTTAGGTCACTGCAGGACCAACGTGCCTGGGACCTCTTGCAATAAGAAGTGCATTCCTCTCTCTGAGCTGGGGCTCGGTGGAGCCATGCTGCAAATGCTTTTGCACTCAGAGATGCCCCCCGATTCTATGAAATCTTGCAGGGACAGTGCCACCATCCTCATCTCCCATGCCACACGGGAGAAAGCCACCCTGCTTGGCATGCATGCGCGGGCTGCTCAGATAAAGGCAGAGCTGACACAAAATTGGAAGTGACCCAAAGACAGCCTTTCCCACATTTAACAAGTGTGACAAATGAGTTACCATCATCCCTTCCCCTGACGGACCATCTTATCTGCAGGAAAATGGATGCTGGTTTAATGAACCAGGGGGAATATAGAACTGACTCTGCAGCATTTTTACATGCATAAATCGGCAGGGATGGAGAGGGTGGGCTATTATTAGTAACCATCATATTTATTATTTGTCGCCCACGTTGTAGGAGGTGTGAATGCTGAAATTGCTGTGCTGCAGCAGGTCGGAGGTCCACCCAGACCTGCCCTGGACAAGAAAGAGTAGCGGAGGAGGATGCAGTAACCCCGTGGCTGGAGGATGGGATGATGGATCCCAGGCAGATGCTCAGCTCCACCATAGCCCTTGCCTCAGCTCCACCTGAGGCCCTGGGCTGGGAGCAGCAAAGCTCCTGCACTCTCCCCTCCTCTCTCTTAGTGCCCCCCCATTCACTTTAATGGAGCCCCTCCAAACTCATGGCAGTAGGAAAGCACCCCCCCAAATGGGGAAAATGAGAGGGGGACACAGATTTCCAAGCTTGCTTAGGAAAAAAAAAAGTAACTTATTCATGTAGACATCTTCCAAGCACAGCAGCGTCAAGGTGCTTAGCATTCATCTCATCTTGCCAGTGTTGGGGAACCCCAAATTGAGATGGCAAAACTGTGTCCCCGTATACTGGCAGGCAGGTACATCCCAGATTGCAGCAACTGCGGTGTTGAGCAAAAGAAAGAATTTTTTTTCATTTTGAGGGAACAAGGGAGAGAAAAGCAGCAGCCAAATCCGGCAGGTCCTCTAATTGCTTTTTTTTTTTTTTTTTAAATTTTGCAAGAAAATTCTAGAAGTTCAGGTTCTGCCAAGGCTGACACCCGATGCAGCAGAAGGCAGGCTTTCGAGGGTTGCTTCTCTGCCTTTTCACTTCTGCCACTCACAACATCGCGCCACGCTCTCCAAATCACACCTTTTTTTGGCTGCGAAGCTGCAGCCTCTGTCACACTCAGCGGCGGGAAGGAAAACCGAGAGGAGGGGGTGGAAGAGAGGAACAGCCGAATGCTGCTTGAGAGAAGTATCTTCTGAGATGGGGAAGAACTGACGCTCACGTTGCCATGTAGAGATTTAATTGTATTCCTTCAGGAAACTGAGCGCGGCAGCTTGATGAGGATTTCTTTCTGCTTTTTCTTTAGCTCGAGGGGAGAAATGGGGAAGGGGGGGTGGAGGGGGGAATGATTCTTCCCTTTCAGTCGACATTGTGAGATTGTGCCTAAAACCCCGACGCTGGTTTCGTGCCCCCGGTACGCGGGAGGGGAGCTCGGGGAGAGGCCACCGGGGCTGGCTGGGGGCAGGCTTGCCCGGGCGGGGATGCTGCGGGAAGGGGGCTCGCCCCGCCCGGTGATGAAACGGCTTCGGGGGGAC